CGGCTTTCAGCAAGATTTGGATTATTCTCCTCCCTTTCTCAAAGACTTCTTCCGCTGTATCACCCCACACGATAATGTCATCAATGTATTGCAGGTGTTCTGGAGCTTGCCCCTGTTCCAGTACAGTCTGGATCAGTCCATGGCAGATGATAGGGCTGCGTTTCCACCCCTGGGGCAGTCAGTTCCAAGTGTACGGGACGCCCCTCCAAGTAAAAGTGAACTGTGACCTGCACCCTGCTGCCAAAGGAATTGAGAAAAATTGAGGAGCTGGATAGATCAGATAGGTCATCCCCCAGTTGTTTGAGGTCCTGGGACAGTTTTTCTACAGCTGAGATGATGGAAGGGGTGAGATTGTCTTCGAACTCTAGGGGTTTATGAATCATTTCATCACTGCTAGTGGTACTATGTAATTCCAGGTTACTGTTGCCAATGAATGGGCATATGATGATGGTGCATTCTGTGTAAATTTCCACCACATGGGTCATGTGCATTCGACTTCATCTGGATCTATGGGTGCATCCCTGGCATTCGGCTTGATGTGACCAATCATCTCTACCATGGCTGATTCCCTCAGAGACTGGATGCCTTTCTCTAGAGTAGTCCACTTGGCCAAACGACTCATAACGTCGTCCTTGTATGGAAACCTTTCTTTCGCAGCTGCCAAGAGCTGCCTCCAAAGGATGAGGGACTTTTTCTCTCTTGCAATTGCTTTGTCAATTCCCCGCCTTCCCTAGCAAGTGATCCCAGCTGCTTGGCTTCTCTACATTCTAGTTTGTGACCGTTGGCCCCATTGTCCCATGATGTGCTCCCCTGGTTGATGGGTGAATAGCTCGGTTGAAGTCCGAGGTCGAGAAGTCACCTCTTTTTCTTCTTCCTCTGATTCATGTGGTGATGACTCCTGATTAGATGCTGTCCTGGGTAGTAAGTGCATTGCCATTGCTTCTTCATCTTATTTCTTCATCTTTCCTGTCTTTTCTGTGCTTTTCCCCTTGCGTACATGGGCAGCTGATACTGGCATGAATTGATCCTTTGGTTTACCTGCAGTGATTATCACTGTGGTTGGAGTGTCTGCAGTATCTGTCATCGAGGTTTGGGTAGCTGCTGTACTTGTCGCTGGGGGTGGTGTAGTTGCTATGCTTGGAGCTGGAGTAGCTGCACTGTCTGTTGCTTTGCCCTCAGATCCAGGGACATTTTTTTTCCTTCTGAAGGTGCTGGATAGTGTTGAACAAGGCCCTGTAAGCATAAGCCAAGCCCCAGCATGTTGCCATGATTTGTTCCTCTCTGGTATGGCCAGAATGACAACACATCTCATTTAAGGGCTTTACTAATTCTTCTGGATTTTGTACTTGTTCAGTCGTGAAGTTCCAAAGCACTGGAGGTGCCCACTGGCCTAGATACTTGCCCATACTATCCTATACACCTTGCCACTCATGACTGTCCAGCCTCAGGGAAAATCTCTTGGTCCTCCTATATCGTCATCTAATCCTAGACAAGGCCCAAACCCAACTGTGCTTAACTTTCGAGATCAGACGAAATGGTCGTGGGTAAAACACACTCTGTGTGCCAACATGATGATCCCCATCACAATCAGCAGGCAAGTCTCAAGGGTACCTAAAGGCCATTCAAAACTTTCGGAACTCTCGAATGATGCTGTAAACGGTCTGGTGGGGGGGGCTGAGAACATACGGGAATGTCTCCTTCATGGGTTGACCACCCGAGGAGGGGAAAAAAATGCTAAACACTTCTGTCACATACCTCCCAAAGTACAGAGGTGGTGACCACACTGGGAATGCAAGCCAGATCTGTTTCATGATTAATAATTCTATTGTATTACAAGTCACTACTATAAAGTACAATGAAACAAGAACCTTAGCCCAAGGGCCTCAGCTGATTAACACAGCAAATACCTTCTGTAAGGTACGACATGATGACACTGTGAGATCAAGAGCAACAACTTCGAGAGCCAATAAATTAACATTGTGACGAGTGACTATTAATCTGAAATAATGAATGCTTATCACAAATACGATTAGACACACTCTGGTCAGATCTGTTTTTATCTCAACCGCTCGTTCCCTGCGTTGGGCACCAAACCACACTAGGCTTAATCCATGACAAAGGAAAAGTAGGCATCAAGACTGAAGCTGTAAATGTGGCCCAAATACCCTCTTTTCACCTCCACTCACCCAGTTCTGCCACTGTATTACCTACATTATGTCCAAAATATATGAGCTCCACAGGCAGAGTAATTTTTGCCATCTCTTTAAAGGGTGTAAAGGAAAAGACAATCTTCATTAATACAATTCAGTTTATTTGCTTAAAAAAATCTTTCATTACAGTATATGAAAAGAATAACTTGCTGATCTAAATTATAGCTATGTTAAAGACCCCAGTAATTCACATTTTTTAATTACTTAATTATTTCACTAAGGATGATTTTTCCCTAAGGTGAAAACCCCTGTGGAATAAACATAGTGGAAGCAGGTGCAAAACTCAAACATTGTAAATAAGCTGACTACATGAAAAAAATTCTGCGCCTCAGCCAGTGATAAGTGTCTCAGGATGATTCATTTAGAAAACAGATAAAGAGGGACTATAAACAAGAAATCAAGAAAAAGTGACATTAGTGCAATTAAGAGAGATGGAAATCTTTTCACCCTTATGAATAAATATAAGTATTCCTAACTCCGCCTGCAAAATGACATAAGTCTTGTAAAACTACCCAGCAGAAACTGCTAAATGGGCAAACTTATTATTCCTGTTGGTACTGTTAGTTAGATTGCTGTATCACCATGAGTCAGTCAATTATGCAGCCACTTTCACAAAGGGCACTCATCTCAAATAATTATCTCTTTGCCTCATTTCCCAAATTTTGCCGTTTTGCTATTTTCTCATCTCACAATGCTTTTCTATGGATCCTGTGATTCTAGTACGTGCTCTTAGATATCCTTCATCTCCAATGATTTTAATCACAAAGTTCTGGGAAACTCTAATATGCATTCAAGTGTGAAAATACATCCCTTTAATTCATATAATACAAAGAATATGGGATTGAGTTATAGCTAGTAAAATCAATTGTCTTTTAAACATAAGTTTGTTATTTATTTACAGAACTTTTTTTTATTTGATTTTCTATCATAATATGGAACTATATAACTTTTTCTACTTCAGAAAGCATTAGTTTTACATACACAAGAGAAGTACATGATAAAGACAGTAATCGTATAAGGATGTGTAGGGATCTTTTTTGGCTGTTTTACTGCCTTCTTCTTTGGCATATTAATAACCAATGATGCATATAGTATGAACTCAAACATACTTATACATTTATTAATCTCTTTTTGTACAAGAACGATTCATTAATAATTTTGGCATCTTTGCACTTATGTACTAAGTTGAAAATACTGCAATACCGTAAAAGATCTTTTTCTTTCCATATCAAACATTTAGCATGACCACTCTCTTCAGTTTTCAGGAACAATGAGTGCCTGTATTTCTGAAGAAATGAACTGTTAAATTGCCAGCTTTCATACGTTATCTAATTTTAGGAAGTTTTACCTGAATAAAAACTTCCAAATTTTGACCGTCACTTTAAGTAATTGGAAAGAATATACAATTTGTACAAGATACTTCCTATGCCACATTATGCATGTTGTTTAACTGATTTATTTTGTCTGCTCTGCTTAATTTAGTATTCCCTTTTATGACAACTGCAAGGTCCTACACCTGGGTTGGAGCAATCCCAGACACAGCTACAGGCTGGGCAGAGAAGAGATTCAGAGCAGCGCTGTGGAGAAGGACTTGGGGGTGTTGGTTGATGAGAAAATGAACATGAACCAGCTTCAGTGTGCACTCACAGCCCAGAAAGCCAACCATATCCTGGGCTGCATCAAAAGGAGTGTGACGAGCAGGTCGAAGGTGGGTCATGCCCCTCTGCTCTGCTCTCGTGAGACCTCGCTTGGAGTCCTGTGTGCAGTTCTGGTGTCCTCATCATAAAAAGGACATAGAACTGTGGAAAAAGTCCAGAGGAGGGCCATGGGGATGATCAGGGGGCTGAAGCACCTCCCGTATGAAGATAGCCTGAGAAAGTTGGGGCTTTTCAGCCTGGAGAAGAGAAGGCTGTGTGCAGACCTCATAGCAGCCTTCCAGTATCTGAAGGGGGCCTAAAAGGATGCTGGAGAGGGACTGTTTACTAGGGACTGTAGTGATAAGACAAGGGTTAATGGGTTAAAACTTAAACAGTGGAGATTTAGACTGGATATAAGAAGGAAATTCTTCCCTGTTACGTTGGTGAGGCACTGGAACAGACTCCCCAAATAATCTGTGGCTGTCTTATCTCTGGCAGTGTTCAAGGCCAGGTTGGACAGGGCCTTCAGCAACCTGGTCTAGTGTAAGGTGTTCCTGCCCATAGCAGGGGGGTTGGAACTAGATGATCTTAAGGTCTTTTCCAACCCTAATTATTCTATGATTCTATGATTCTATATGTGGCATATTCTTTTCTAATGCATTCCTATAAGTCATACACAAAAGTTAAGCTCAGTAAGTGTCTGAGCAAATCATCCAAACCTGTTGTTTCAGTGGATTTAAAATTTAACAAATGTGAAGAACATTTGTTGATTTCACTGTTGACAATGATTCATGGCAATCCAGTTCAGTGAATAAATAAATGATCTGGATCACCTGTTCAGGTTGTAAGCTGAGAAACTTGCATCAAATGTCCCATTTTATAAAAACAACCTCATGTTACACAGTATTTCCAAGCTGGAGTTCACCACCACTTAGTGTAGGAGATTATATTAATGATTAGCAAGAAAACTGACTTAATAAGTGTTTTTTCTGACATAACTCAGCTGTCTGCTGAAATGGGAAATTCACTGCAAAAACAACTTGGTAACATTCTTCTGCTTACACAATCCCACAAGATGAAATTCTCCATCAAAATGTGCAAAGTTTAAGTTTTTTTTGTAACGTCTATTAAAAGGAAAAGCTATTTTACTTACCAAGCCAACTTCTGTTCAAATATACTGACACAAACACTGGAGGGACTGTGAAGAAATCTACTACTGAGTTAACTTCTAGCCAAAACCATAGCTTGTCATTGGCTGCTATGAACTGAAAAAAAGAAAAAGGGGGAGGGATGAAAGAATCAGATTATGGTCATGGTACCTGCAAGTATGGGCAATATTTTTCATTCTAAAATATCAAATGCCAACGGTTAGTGGTGCAGTAACTGATGTTGTACTGTGCATTGCTTATAACCACATTATGATTAAAATCAAAGAAAACTTAAGTAAGAAGATCATTTATATGATAAGCTGTAATAGCTATGCTTAAAAAAATTTCTCCACATTTAATAACAATGTATCAGTATACTGCAAAGGTAGGTAAGTATAAAATATTTCAAAGTCTATCACCTTTGCTCTGGCACACAAAACATCTTGGTAACACTCTCATCACGTATTTGCTGTTCACCGGTTTCTAAATACATCATAGTTTACAAACAGTCCCATTATCATCCTATCAAGAGGTAATCACCAGGATAACTCCTATATGGCATAATTCAGGGCTGCAGCAGGATTTTGGTCCTTTGAATTTTGCAATGGGTAAGGTCATTTCTCTCTCCTGACTACAAAATCAGCCTAGGAAATCTGGGAAATTTAGATGCCAAGCATTACCATAGTTTGAACTTATCTATTCATCTATGTGTTTAAACAAGGTCAAATTACTATTCACATGCAAATAATAAGTAAAACATATGCTTTCTATAATTATGAAATTTAAATATAGGAATAAATAAAAAAATCTAGTGCATCATGAAGACATTTAATGGAGCAGTTTTACTCATGTAAGTCTTAAACTCTGGACTATTTCAAAACTAAAACATATTTCAAAACAGTGTTTTTATTTTTTGAACTACAGACAATATCCATTGTCTTTCTTCCAAAGCACACACTGATAGTCTCTTAATCTCCTAGCCTTAGAATGACTTTCAAACTTTAACAGAAAATGTTCATACCAAGTTTTCTGGAATCCCAGCTATAGTATTGGAAGAGGGAATCTACTGATGTCAAGAGTGCTGAAATCATACCTAAATGAGACAGGCAACATGAGCAGCATCTGCCTCAGTGAAGACTCAAAGCTAAAACTTAATTGACATTTTGTTAGTCTGTATTACTTTGCACCAACTCACCAGCATGAAAACTGAAGAAAAACGCCCAGAAGCTTTTGTTTCCATTCTGTTGAATTTAGTACTTAGAACATTTGGAACTAAAAGCTCTCTAAGAGGACAGATCAGTACATTCATAACCTGCAATATGTGTGCTAGTCAGCATTGCATCTTTCTATCAGGCACAAACTTTAGGCTTTCAAAAAGGTTAAAGTGTGTTATTCAACAATGAAAATAAAATCTGTTGAATGTAAAGGCCACTCATACTTTTCTGTGGAAGTATTTGAACAGTTACTCATTTAGGTAATTAGCAACTAATAAAAGCCCATTTCTTTACAGAATAAATCCTACAATGCCTGAAGAAGCGGTTCCAGAAGCACTAGCACAATTCTGTCACTTCCAAATAAGGATTACTTCCATATTTGCTGTATCTCTGCCAGATGCTATTGCTTGATTATGTGCTAAATCCTGCAGTTTGGACTTATTCTTCATCAGCAGCTTGACGACTTGACTTCTGAGTTCTCATATAGTTGGATACTAGTCAATAAAGATTTTAAAATGGATATATGTACATTTGAACACAAATATCTTCCAGAACTGAAAATAAGGTAATATTTATATGATTTCAGTTGCAACATCATTTCAGGGAAAGCAGGCGGAGAAAGATGAGATTTCAAAATATTTCTTAAAATCTTTACGTTGCAAGTGTACTAATCTGAAATGAATCCTTATCATCCCCACTTACCACACTTCAGTTTGCATCACAAAGCGGTCTTGGGTAACACAAAAATTTGTTTTGGTTGAACCTAAAACTGAGAAAGGGGTTCTGGCAGTGCATCTTACCTACTGTAACTGGTAAAGTGAGCTCTGTCCACAGGACCTAAGTGGACTTTACATTAACTCTCTCCCCCTTCCAAAAAACATAAAGTGTGGACAGCACAGTATTAGCATCCACTGACTGTATATTCTCTCTTATTGTGCTCTGCTTCTTGATAATGTAGCCTAAGTTACTGCCTTGAGTAAGAGTGGCTAGCATGTAATTTTAACTCTCTTGGTGAGAACATACAACCTTACCACTAGCATAAAATTTCCAGAGCATTTGGATACTTCTAAAATAAGGGTTCTTGGAAGTTCACAAGTACTATGCATTGAAACTGTGATGCCAAAAAGTTAACCTATATTGCAGGCCTAGTGGACACTACAAAAGCCCCACAAATCTTTAAGCATTAGGGTCTATTACATTGTATGCTTCTAAAATACAGCTTAGAATGCATAGGTAGTAGTGCAAATACTGAGGGAATTTATCTATTTAGCCAAAGACTGCACCTAGACTAGGCAATGAAATAACCTAGATTTGCAACAAAATTCCTCATTGGATCATCAGAAAAGGATGGTTAAGTTGGTTGGAAGTGAAATTGGAGGAACTAAACTGTCATTGTGACATAGGAGCTCCTATGATTCAGGAACAAAATGGACAAAGTTCAGGAGGCAGCACTTGTACCAAATTTAAAGATCACTGTGGAAGACTGCTCAAATGAGGTTTTCCTGCTAGTTCTGTTATGTTTCAGGGTGGGGTTTTTTTCCACAATTTTCCAATTAGCAACAAGCAAAGTTAGTTTTCAAAAATTTTTTTTTTAATAAAACAACAACAAAATAACCACAAACAAAATTCCCCAAACCCAACAGCTTGAACTCCAAGCGTTACTGGCCCAAACTTTTAACAGTGCCTACCTTTTTCAGATGTCCTAACTTTTAGATCCTAAAAAAGCATTACTTAATTTTCAGAAAGTGTTAATTTCAAGGATAAACACTTCAGTATATTGGCTAGTATTTCAAGTTCCTCAAAACATTAATTACCAGTCTGGGAAAGTAGATGTGCATAAAACTGAATACAGCAGCTCTACCAGCTGTTATCTCAACCTTCAACTGCCAAAGACATATCTAGCAGTAGAGGAATAGATTGATTATTCACTAGGCTTGCTGAGGTAGTTATCACTCTATCGAGAACACTGAAACTAGCTTCAACATCACTGAATTATAATAAGTTTTCTCTTTCTGCCACACAAGAATATTCTGGAACAGACAGCTTAGCTTATAAACTGTTGGTCTCCTTAGTGACCTTAGATGCTTATTACTATTACCTAAATGCCCTCAAGCAAATTCTTCGCTCATGCATTTTAGAAATCAGCTTAATTTTGTCCAGCCATTGTATAGCCAGGCTGTTTCGAAATACTCCCATCTAATAGCTACATTCACTCCCTGACTTATGACATCAATGACATACTACTTACACGCAAGCCGAAGTAGAGTAGGAAGAACACATTGAAAGCCATGTCGATCTGTAATGTGAAATCTTTGTAGAAATTCTGGCAGGATTCTATTGGACTATTTGAAAGAAAAAGAAACCAGAGTAAATTGTCAATATACAAGTTCCTACTCTCGTGAGATTTTTCTGCATTTCATTAAAGACCTTGATTCAGAAATCACATTTCTGTTTTCCAGACTTTTACAAGATACAAGCAAGCATTTCAAATGAATTATTTCATTCATTCTGTTAGTCATTCATACAGTCTTTATATTCACCTGTTTGGGTAATATCAGAGGATTAACATGCAGGTACCTTTGAGAAAGGACAAGCGGGATAATACCTCAGGATTCCTTAACCTCTCATTAACCCTTAAAGAACTGACTTCTTTCTACAGGAGACATACCTATGATACTTTAGGAGGAAACCTAACAAGCCTCAGCTAAACATTACATGGTTTTAATTCATGTCATAATACAACACCTTAGAAAAAGTAGTTGCTTAGGAATACATTACCAATTAGCAATCTGTGGTATTTAGTCTTATAGGATCCCTTGTTTATAAGAAGTTGGTTTAGGGTGGGTTTTTTTTCTCCTTTTTCTCACTTCTTTTTTGTGTATGGCTATTTATTGTACTTTATTTACATTACTATGAACTGAGTAGAAAAGCAGCATAGCCCACTGGTAAAATTAAATAACAAAATAAATCGAGGTATTTGAAGCAGTACTCTAAGGGTTAATTTTTGCATGCAGATTAATTAAAATACCTTTGTGTATGTCAGGCAGCCATTGCAAATTCTAGCTTATTATATTATGCTTTCTTTAACAGTGGGACATGTCCAAAGCATACTCTATACAAACTGGTACTTTATAAATATACTTTTATCTAAGAAAAGAGATAACTTTCATGAGTATAATTAGTGATTTATTTGTGAGGTCTCTAAAGCAGGTTGATGAAGCCACAGAACAATGTTGAAATCACAGACCAAAGTGAAAATCATTTTCCAATATATGCTGATGCATATACTATATATATACATAATGTCCCACCATATATACATATATACAGATACATATATTGCAAATGATCAGGTATTAATCATTACTGTAATAAAGTGAAAGACTAGAGCCTAGATTATTTGGAGCCCCAGAAAACATCTTTGAGGAAAGAAATTTTTTGGCTTCTCAGGTCAAATAAATCACTGAATGTGAGCATCATACCAGTTAGTATAGTGGTAGCTCTGAAAAATATAATGCTAGACTGCTCAACAAGCAAGATTCTATGCATTATGAATGTTGGTTACCTAATTTGAGGCATAAGGGAAATTACGTGGCTACCAGGTCATTACACATGCAGCCAAATTTTCCATTCCTTGTATACATTACAGGTCAAACAAGTTAAGTACAGCATGCCCTTTCCTGCCTTTAGATGCATGAATGTATACAGCAAAATTGTCCTTGATGTACAATAGCTTTATCTTTTAAGAAGCTTCAGTGCTATAGGAAATTATATTTAAATGTTTTTAAAAAACTATTTGCAAAGACATTGAACTTATGAAACATTTCTGCTATAGTTCAAATAAAATTTCACAAAAACAGGCAGAAGGAAAGAGAAGCATATGTTAGCACATGAGGACGGAAGACAGCACCTCATACTTTACAAATACAGCTTTAGCTATAACAACAGTGGATGTAGTCTAAAACCACAACAGGATCATTCTCTGTATGGCATTATTGAGAGAAAAAAATTTTGTCAAAATAAGGTAGGCTACACCCTGAGTCACTATGCACCCTACCGACAGAAATCACAAGAAGTAAAGCAGAAGCAGAAGGAACAACCCTGAACCAGTACACAGGCTTGGACACTTAATTCCAGGTTAGGTTTCTGTAAAAGGAGAAGAATTTCACTGCAGCTAATGGAACTGCACAGATTTCTAACTAGGATAGAGAGCGCTTCATTACCTTCCTTTCCATGGTGCTTTTCATGATTGTTAGATAAGGTTAGCAAAGGTTGTAGCTAACAACTGTACTTTTGTACCATTGTCCTTTACAAAAGCCTAAAGATGTTAAAAATTAGTTATTACATAATACATCTTCATCTTGCCTGCAAAACACTTAGCACAGTAGACCACAATCCTGATTTAGACTTTTGTTTACTTAATACCAGAACTTCTGCTGACCATACCCCTAAAGCATCCTTCATTTCAGATATCTCTCAATTTCTTAGTTATCAATTTCAAAGACAAACACTGTGTCCTTTCCTTATTGTTTTAAATGATTATTTTGGCAGAAAAGCATGTCACTGAGGCTAAAGAAATTTTTATTTATTCATCCCACCATGTTTCTGTAATGACAACTATGTTATAGTTTTCCCACTGCCCAATGGCTTCTAGTTCCTCCTGTTTGTTGCCTCTTTGTCCTGGTTGGGTAGTCCTGGTGGTGAAGACTCCCACCATGACATCTGCCTACCCCCTGATTCTTACCCATAAACATTCAACTTTATCATCACCATCATGAAGCTCTAAATAATTAAAACACTCCCTAGCATACTGGGCTACCCCACCTCCTTTTCTTCATTGCCTATCCCTTCTGAAGAGTTTATAGCCATTCACTGCAGAACTCTAGTTGTGCTTAATGACCACATCAAGACAGAGGCAAACAAAACATTCTGTAAGCAGCTGAACAAAGCTAGCCCTTGTTCTCATGGGGGACTTAACTTAGCAGATAAGTTTTCCACTGGAAATACAACACAACAGCGAAAAAAAAAATCTAGGAGGTTCCTGAAATGCGTGGAAGAAAAATTCCTGACACAGCTGGTGAGGAAACTAGGGAACGTTCCCAGCTAGACCTGTTGTTTGTCAACAAGAGAAGGACTCCCAGAGAGCAGAGTTTAGCCTGTTTAGGAGACTGGTTGACAAGAGCTCCTTCCTTAAGAGGTAGTCCTGAAGGACAAAGAAATTCAGGAAGGCTGGACATTCTTAAAGAAGGAAATCTTGAAGTCACAGGAGCCTTGTGCCAAAAGGTGAGCCAGCAGGGTGGAAGACTAGATGGGCTGAAATGAGAGGTTTGGCTGGAACTCAGAAGAAAAAAGGAGTTTATGACCTTTGGAAGAAGGGTCAAGCAACTAGAAGCACCAAAACCCAACTAGAACTTAATCTGGCTACTGCTGTAAAAGACAACAAAAAAGGTTGCTATAAATAAATTCGCAACAAAAGGAAGGCTAAAGGAGAATTCTTTTTTGGATGCAGGAGGAAACATTTATGAAGACTGAGGAAAAGGCTAAGGTATTTAATAGCTTAAGACTCAGTCTTTAATAGTAAGACCAGTTGTTCTCAGGGTCCCCTGCCCCCTCAACTGAAAGACAGGGACAGGGAGCAGAATGAAGCTCCCATAATCCAAGGGTAAATGGTCAGTGACCTGCTACACCTCTTAGAACCATAGAGTCATAGAATCATAGACTAGTTAAGGTTGGAAAGGACCTTAAGATTAACTAATTGCAACCCCCCTGACATGAGCAGGGACACTTCGCACTAAACCATGTCACTCAAGAATCCATCAGGTCTGACCTTGAACACCAACAAAGATGAAGCATTCAAAATTTCCTTGGGCAACCCATTCCAGTGCCTCACCACCCTCACAGTAAAGAACTTCTTCCTTATATCTAACCTGAACTTCCCCTATTGAAGTTTGAACCTGTTAGCCCTTGTCCTATCACTACAGTCCCTAATGAAAAGTTCCTCCCCAGCATCCTTGTAGGCCCCCTTCAGATACTGGAAGGCTGCTATGAGGTCTCCACGCAGCCTTCTCTTCTCCAGGCTTAACAGCCCCAACCTTCTCAGCCTGTCTTCACATGGGAGGTGCTCCAGCCCCCTGATCATCCTTGTGGCCTCATCTGGACTTGCTCCAAAAGCTCCATGTCTATTTTACATTGAGGACACCAGAACTGCACACAACACTCCAAGTGAGGTCTCACAAGAGCAGAGTAGAGGGGCAGGATCACCTCCTTCAGCCTGCTGGTCACACTCCTTTTGATGCAGCCCAGGATATGGGTTGGCTTTCTGGGCTGTGAGCATACACTGAAGCCGGCTCATGTTAAGTTTCTCATCAACCAACACTCCGAGGTCCTTCTCTGCAGGGCAAGACACACACAGGCCTATAGAGCCAAATACAATCCACCTAGGTACTGATAGAGCTGGCGGAAGTGCTCACTGAGCAGTCTGCAGTCCTGGCTAAACAGGGAGATTCCAGATGACTAGAAGTTAGCAAATGCGACTCTCATCTACAAAAAGGGCCAAAAGGAGAATCCAGGGAACTACAGCTCTGTTAGTCTGACCTCGGTGCTGGGAAGATTATGGAGCAGATCATCTTGAGTGCAATCACATGGCACATACAGATCAACCAGGTTATCAGGCCCAGTCAGCATGAGTTTATGAAAGGGAGGTTCTGTTTGACTAATCTGATCTCCTTCTATGATAAGGTGGTCCACTTAGTGGATGAGGGAAAAGCTGTGGCTGTTGTCTACTTAGACTTTATTGAAGGCTTTGACACTGTTTGCCACAGCACTGTCCTGGAGAAACTGGCTGCTCATGGCTTGGACAGGTGTGCTCTTTACTGTGCAAAAAAAAATGGCTGGATGGCCAACAGCCCAAAGTGGTGTTCCCCTGGGCACAGCAGTGTGGCCAGTTCTGTTTAATATCTTTAACAATGATCTGGATGAGGGGATCGAGTAAATTTGCAGACAACACCAAGCTGGGTGGCAGTGCTGATCTGTTGGAGGGTAGGAAGGCTCTGCAGGGGGATCTGGACAGGCTGGATTCATGGGTGAGGCCAATTGTATGAGGTTCAACAAGGCAAAGTGCCAGGTCCTGCACTTTAGCCACAACCTCATGGAATGCTCCAAGTTTGGGGAAAAGTGGCTGGAAAGCTGCGTGGCTGAAAAGGACCTGGGGGTATTGGATGACAATGTCTAAATATGAGCCAGTAGTGTGCTTAGGTGGCCAAGAAGGCAAAGAGCATCCTAGTTTTCAATAGAAGTACTGTGGCACAGAGGACTAGGGAAGTGATTGTCCACATGTGCTCAG